CGCCATATGTGTGTTGAGTTTGTTGAAGGTCCTATCTTTTGCAGCGAAAGGTTTATCTCTGTGTACCCCGGTTTTCTACTCTCCTCAAAATCAAACATTACCAAATTCCAATTCGAGTATCATAGGGCGCATCGGTTAAGCATCTTTTTTTAAGTGGAATATCATTAGTTTGAAGTGGAATACATTAACACCGATAACGTCATAGCCTTTTGTCTTTCTCTCACGAATAAAATGCGCAGGAATATTTTTGGTGCTAGAAAGAGCTAGTTGGCCTCTGCCCTCATTAAATATGCACGATTTTGGTCGCCAAGAATCAGTGCATGCAAACCAAAATATCAATTGTATTAGAAAAATATTTCTGCACATTTTGTGCATGAGATAAAGATAAAAGGTTATGATCGATGTTAATGTACTCCACTTCCAACTGATGAGATTTCACTTCAAAAAAGAGGCCTAATCAGTGCGCCCTAAACTGCTGATTCGACCTGGAATCAGGTAGACGAAAAACCCTAAGCTGATGGGCTACCTATAAATCGTTATCATTTATTTATTTACTTATTTATTTAATTATTTGTATGTTTATGTATTTATCTATTTAATTTATTCAATGCTCTTCTCCAAAATAAGAACGAGCACAGTGTTAGTTTTTAAATGATTTTAAAGCTAACAATACCGCGGTATTTTTATCACAGAATTTAAGTTGTTCATAAGCAAACTGTTGTTTCACTATAATGTGCTGAACGCAAAACTCCTTATAGACAATTATTAACGAAGTGAGGAATACTGCGTTTTCCTCCATCATACACTGTGTATTTCTTTGTTATTATCCAGCACCAATACCATTCGCTTTTTTTGTATCACTCACCATGTTTAAGAACCCAATGAGTCGCCAGTCGTTTTGTGCGTCTGTGAAACGCACTTATATAACTCATGACTTAGGATTGACAAAATAATAGCTTTTACTAGGTAATTACTTCAGCTACGATCGAAAATGGCGATCAGGAGAGTTATGCAGATTTGCTGGTGCCTTGTCAGTGTTATCAAGTGAGGTATCTGTTTGTTAACTGTTATCACCGCCGAGCGCCTGATCAGTATCGTCTTTGCACTAAAGATTTCTCGGTTGACCTTGCGAGGAGCCTACCGCATATGTTCTGCGGTTTGGATATTCGGAGTTGCTATCGCCATTGTGCCTATGTTTGACTTTCCATACTTCTGCAATAAGGACAGAGAATATGGGTATTATGGTACGTAATATTTTCTCTATCTATACTAAGTTAACAACAATACAAAGCGAATGCGCTGAAAGATGTCAATCAAAATCAAAATCATTTTATCATGAAACAATAATAGTATTATTTCGAGAGCACTATTATCGTCATCATTATTATTTATTATTATTATTATTATTATTATTATTATTATTATTATTATTATTATTATTATTACTATTGTGTGATCCTCCTCAGTTGTTATTATTTCATGAAGGAAGACGAGGGGCTATTTCAAACTTTTCACTATAACTGCTCTATAACAGACTACTGGGGCTCCACTGAGGTAAGCAGGAGCATTGAATAAGACAAACTTCTCAATTC